TCAACATTACTCCCATACATCCCAGTACTCTGGCCATATTGAAGTACTCAACATTACTCTCATGCATCCCAGTGCTCTGGCCATCTTCTAGTACTCAACATTACTCCCATACATCCCAGTATTCTGGCCATATTGAAGTACTCAATATTACTCTCATGCATCCCAGTACTCTGGCCATCTTCTAGTATTCAACATTACTCCCATACATCCTAGTACTCGGGCCATATTGAAGTACTCAACATTACTCTCATGCATCCCAGTACTCTGGCCATATTCTAGTACTCAACATTACTCTCATATATTCCAGTACTCTGACAAAAGTCATGGGTACTGGAGGGAATGAAAATGTCCGTGTGAAAATGTAACTAATATTACTAAATAATCGATGCTGAAATTATTCAATAGGGACCCAATTCACTATATACTTTCACCATAAAGGACATTTGTATTAAGTTTCATAAATCTGGCTATCAACATGAAGGTGTCTATTAGTGCAAACAATTCATTTCTTGAGTCTTGGTGATGGTGGCGGACAATGATCGGGAGGCATTTCTAATGTACAAATGTAGTTTTACATATGCTGATGAAAGCTTTCCACAGCAGGAAATCAATTAATGTGAAACAAAACAACTTCGATCCAGTTTCTTGAGCTGCAGTTCAAGGACGTCATAGCCATTTCCGGCTAATGTGTCCTGTGCCTAAGAAAGATGTGGAACGTGCCGGCGCTGCAAAAAGCTCCCTGCACAGTGCGAAGCTCACCTGCAAACCAGTCAAGATGCAGAGACAGGCAGTCACAACCGGGAGGCAAATCCAACCATGTCTGAGAAGAGTGCGCAGGAAGGTCGCTCAGGCACAAGTCATCCAGCAGAGGGGAAGCAAAATAAAGCACAGGGACAGGGAGAGCAGAAGAAAGCGCCTTGCTCACCCAAACGTAAAGCCATGAAGCAGTCTGCAGGGACCCCAGCAGAGGGGGGCGTTTTAAAAGCAGCACCAGGGGCAGGAGGCAGACCTCTGAACTGCGTTCCTGGACGTCGGCCCTGCACAGGCTTTAGAGTCAGGCTTCAGAGCCCCCGGCCCATCAGACTGAGGCCTAGGGAAAGACCCTGGAAGAAGAAATAGCCCAGAAACTGGGGAGCAGGGGTGTGAATGCCTTCACCCTGCAACACAGGCTGGACTTTCAAATGCTGCCCTCTCTGCTTGCATGCCGGGTCGTGGAAATGGGATGCTTCTGTGACTGGTTTGGCTTTTTAACATGCTATTCTGTTCCTTTGCAGCCACGGGCTGTGTCAGACAGCCCACGGGCACAATGACCGGCTTCACCATCTAGGTGTTTTTCACTGGTTTGTTTTAAAGCACAAGTGAAGGGAAAGGAACTAAGACAAGGCTGGGCCTTGTGGCCAAGGGGCCTCTTGCAGTGATTCCCTAAGGTGGTTCTGTATATTGATCTGGAAATGTTTGTTCTGGTAGTAGAGAAATGTTTAAGGTTACTTAAAAAACAACAGAACTGTGTCCTCATTTAGTATTAATATATTTTTACCCGAAAATAAATAAATAGCTCATGGTCTAATAAGAAAGTATTTCTTTTTTCTTCTGATTAGCATCACACTCCTTTAGAACACCCCACCCCCCAACAAGCACTCTGTAACTCAGAACAAATCCCTTATGCTCTCCTACTTAGCACCTGATGCTTCAACTGAAATGACTCAAAGCATCACTCCAGCCACTGAGTCTCGCTTGTGCCCAGTACCCAGGTCGACTAGCACTAGATCCAAAACCAGCCCACGGACACGGCAGGGAGGCCTCTGCTAGTGCGCTGTGAACAGGGAAGGCCACGTGGCTTTTCTCACACGCAGTGCGTGCTGGTAGACAAGCTACTGCCAGCACTTATGGAGATGTACAGATCGTGAAGCTCTCCCAAGGAGAAATGAATGACAATCACAAATAAAATGATAGGAAAATTGTAACATAAAGCGTTAAGCCCACCAGACCCGATGGGTCTAAACAAATCTAGAGCTTCAGTGCCAGTCATCCATACGTCCGGTTTTCCACGCTCACGCACAACTAACCTAGATCACCCCGAGTCTGCACCACAGTTGGAAGGCCAGGCTTTCCTGCAAAGTACCAGCCAAGCTGTAGTGCTTTGTGTTTCCTGCGGTCCGACTCCTACAGAGCTCCCTCGGGACAGCGCACTTTTCTGAGTTTCCCTGGCGATCCAACATGGCTCTTCTCCTTGGCCCAGCCGTGACAGGAGCCCCAGTGGCAGAGAGGGCCACGTGCTGGGCTGCTAACCACAAGGTCAGCAGTGCAAAGCCCCTACCGTGGTCACCACAGGGCCAGTTCCACCCGTCCCTCAGAGCTTGTGAGCTGGAATCGGCTAGATGGCTAGTTCGGTTTCCTGGCTCCCAGGACACATACCTTGTTGTTCTCGTGGTCTCCGCTCACAGCGATGGGGTACATAACATATTTTCCTCCCTGATCCTCATTCGGGGCGCATTCTGCCAGACCATCAGGGTCATGTTCTGCTCCAAAATTGTGTCCCAATTCGTGCGTTGTCACCAGGTCTGCTTCCTTCAAGATCAGGCAAAGGGAATATTACTCCCCAACATCCCGCCACCTGCCCCTTCAGCCTATGCTGGTCTAGACAGGGCACTTGTTAATCAAGTCAACAACAACAGACTGTGATCCTTTCTATCAATTACAGAAGCTAAAGATTATATAGTTAACATTATTAAACAAAACTGTAAGGACAAGCTTAAAAGACAGCTTACAAAATGTACAGGAACATTTATGAGAAAAAGAAAAAAAAACAAGCCATTTAAGGCAAGTAGTCTCTGGTGCTGATTAAGCACTAGGGAGCAGTCACGATGACCACTCTCCCTCGTTTCAATCATACACTTCAAGCCTAAAGCACCCAGGACACCGGAAGGGAACGTAGGGAGGAGGGAGAGAACGGGAACAAGGCAACGCTGCGAGCTGAGCTCCGTGAGGGCGGGGGTTCATGTCCAGTGACAACCTCGCAGTCCAGCCGGTGCATTTATATCAGGCCACCAGAGGATTCCCACCCGATGCCAATGCATGCGACACACCTAAAATCATTTCCCCCATGTCTATCTGAATTAAAAAATTAAATAACAAATGAAAAACTCCTAGGGGAAAAAGTATTCCATGAAACATGAAGTAAGCAGTTAATGTAAAGCAGCTTCAAAGATTGCTCATGAACGTCAATGGGTTTTCTTACACAGGCAGTTACAGATACCAAGACACAATCGACTAGCTCGTGGCCTTCAGGGGGTCCTGGGTGCGAGGGGGGAACCCAGTCTCGAGGACACTCAGTCAGCGCTGTGACACCGCTCATACTGGCACTACTCCACGTCCTAGTCTGCCAAGGAGGGTGTGGGGTCTGAAGACCTTGCAGGTGGCTATTTGACACACTCCTGGGTCATTTCCTGTCTGGGGCAAAGGAGCGAGACGGAAACCAGAGGCTGGAGGAAACAGTCCCGGGCTAACCGTCCACAAATACTGTGTTCTCTTCTCCCTTGAGAACGGAAGAACCACACGGTGCCCAGCTTCCTCCACCAGCTGCTCTGACCAAGGGCGCCAGAGGAAGTGCCGGGCAGAGACAGACAGAACAAAACTCAAATCCCCAAAGAAACCAGGCCTAATGGACTGACAAGATCCTCCAGCTCCGCAAGACACACTTGAACTTGGAACTACAGCCGCAAACTACAGACCAGCGTACCACGGAAACAACGGCCTTGAGAAGACTGGGCTCCCTCAAGGAGAGCCGAGCGCAAGCCCGGTGCTCACCATTTAACCGGGACCGAGGACACGACTGTGAGAACCATGAGAACTGAACACCTCATGGAAAGTGTAGTCCAGCACAGAAAGTGGGTGAAGGGAGATGTCGGACAGTGTAAGACATGACAAAATAATAATTTATAAACTATCAGCGGTTCACGAGGGAGGGGGAAAAACGAGCTGATACCAAAGGCTCAGTAGAAAGCAAATGTGTTGAGGATGGCAACAATTGCAAATGTGCTTGACACAATGGATGTATGGATTGTGATAAGATTTGTACAAGGCCCAAATAAAATGATTAAATAAAAAATTTTAAATAAGCAAAAAACAAAAAACAGTGTAGTTCAGGAACTTGTATAAAAATTGTTAAATGGACATACCTAATTTGCTCTGTAAGCCTCCACCTAACACACAGAACAGTAGATCCTCAAATTCCCAAGGTACAATACAGAGAAGCAATCTACTCTAAACTCATTACAAGATTGGCTAACCAACCTTCAAGGTATAAAAATGGCAATGCCAAAGCAGACTTATTTTTGTTCTGCGTGTCTTGAAAGAGAAAATGCTGGGAGAGAGGACAAGATTTACAAAAAGATGTACGTCTCTCCATTGAAGGGGTGAGCTGATCAACAGGGTGGGGGGAGACACTGAAATGTGCAAGAGCTTTGAAAGTTTGAGGGAAAATGGAATGAAAAGATCATGGAAATTTCCCATGAACTCTGTGAAGCTCCTTCACATACCATCAGCTATTAAACATTTCTATTTCTCACCCGAGATCAATCCCCTCTTCCTTCCTTATCTGGGGAGCCCCCTTCTGCAATGTCGTCCACTGAACAGTCACGGCATTCCCAGCAGGCTGGGAGCAGTCACTGGACCCAGCTCTGTCCACGGAGACCTTGAGAGCCAGGGGCCGGCCGGGGTTCTAAAGCTTCCCAAAGGGACTGCCCTGTTTGCCCGCGAGGCTGGGGTGTCCTCGGCCTCTTCCACAGGAGAAGCCTCCCATGTGCAGACTCAGCTTGCACCTGACTGCACCCCAGGCCCAGCGCGGCTCAGGCATCACTCACTCACTGGGCAGCTGCTTATGGGATATTGTTCATTGTAGCCCACACATTCCTACAGGTTATTTTAGGATCGTAGCATGTCCTAAAATCCTCCAAGGTGAGGGGGGGTTGGGTTGAAAGAGGTCATATAAATGAACCAGAATGAACTCAGACCCTTTCACAGCACCAGGAAATGACAGCCAGGAGAAGATGGCGCATGGCTCCCCGTGTCTGAATAGTCCCAGCTCTGCATCAAGTTTCTGACCAAGCAGACATTGTCAGAGATGCAAAGTACCAAGAATTTGCCATTCGTTGCCTTGGTGCTGCTGTCGGCGAAGTGTTGACTGCCAACCGCAGACAGGCGAGGCCGTCTGCTCCAGTACAGGTTTAAACCCGGAGACACCCATAGGGTCACTCTGTCCTACGGGGTCACTCTGTCCTACGGGTCATTCTGTTTTATGGGATCACTATGTCCCACAAGGTCCCTATATCCTACAGGTTGCTCTGAGCCACAACCAACTTGGCGGCAGCGGGTCTGGGTGGCTTTATCCCCTTCCTAGGGAGCTCCTGAAGATGAAGGTGTAATTCAAGGAGAGCGTGCAGGACACGCCAGCAGCTCTGGAGACGACTGAAGGTGCTTCAAGAGGGAAGCCCTTGAGGAGAGCTATGGCCTGAGATATTTCCAAAGGAGTGTTATCTCCCGTCTGTGTTTAGTGATTTTTCATATTTACCCCACACAACAGACAGGTGCAAACCTGTCAGAAGAATCTCTCTAAATATTTCTCACTGACAGTTGTAAGACTTTGACTGCACCCTGTCAAACGCAGGCAGCGTGCACAGCTCAGAGAAGCAAGGCCATGCAGGGGTGCTGAGAGTGTGGAAAGGGGGACTCCCAGGGAAGCTCATGGAGGAAGACCGGCAGCAGGCCAAGGGCCGGACATGCCACACTACGGGAAGGGCCCCTAAAACCCAGTTCAAAACTTTCCTTAAAAAATAGAACGCACCTTTGTAAGGATGGTTTTGCCATAATTTTTGGTGCTAGTCAAACCGCTGTTCAAATATATGTATTTCTTCCCAAGAGGACTGTAGTAAGCTGGAGAGAGAGAGACAGCTTATGAGACACAGAGCTGGAGAATGTCCAGCCAGTCGCCCCGCAGCACCACGTCCAAGCAAGAGGCAGGAACACACCCTTTGGACAAACACCGCCATGACTGTTGGCCCGGGGAGAGCCCACGTAGGCCAGCCCCAGAGTGCCCATGTCAAAGTCTTGGTAGGTGAAGAGATGGGCCAGGCAGACTTTCGAAGCTTCCTCCGCGATGTCGAAGCTGAACTGCTGCAAGAACAAGCAGAGACACGTTCTTAGGGAGGCTACGGGTTCCCTAGGACTCCAGCTGTTTCAGGGGCACCCCCACCCCCACACTGTCCCACCCGCCCACTGCTGGGCTTCTCAGGGACCCTCAGGGAGAAGGCAGACTGGCCTAGAGGATGGCGCAGCAGGGAGAGCTCCTAGAGCGGGTCTCAGAAGACAGACAGACAGACAGACAGACAGACATCACAGTTGTGTGCCGCTCGAGGCAGCTGTGCACGATTCCAGGGACCTTGCACCCTGAGTAAGAAAGGGACCGAGGAGTCCCTGGGTGGTGCATTGTTAACGGCTCGGTGGCTCACGGAATGGCTGAAGGTCTGAGGTCAGCCATAGGTCTCAGAAGGCCTGGCCACTTGGTTCTGAAAAGTGGTCAGCGAAAGCCCCGATCCACAGGGAGTGGCTGAGCCGCAGCGGTCCCCAGGACAGCCAGCCGTTGCTGTGGGGCATTCACTGAAGGGGGTACTGAGACGAGGAGTCCAAAGCGCCCTTAGCTGGTGGGAAAAGGTCACCTTTGACCTTCTATGGGCTCAGTGAGCGCATAATGGCTTCCCACCAAAGGCTGGCTTTCTGGAGGGTCCTCTGCTACTGGCAGTCCTCTGTAGGGTTCCTCCTCCTTCCAGGTGTGCACATCCTGTCCCTCTATCGACCCTGCACCCCAGACTTCATGCCGCGCTCCTCTCAGACCCCCAACTCAACAGTCAGTCCATCTTTGTGAGTATCCTATCTTTCTGGACCGGCCTTGTCATGACTTCCGATACCCCGGTCTCCTCTATCCATCAGGAAATGTATTCTACTCTCCCCTCCTCCACCTTCTCACTGAGGTGTGTGAGGAAGCCTGTCTCCCCTCGCTTGTTTAAGATTCCCACCAGTTTTGTATCACTCGTCACCTCTTCTCCTCCCTCCACTTTCTGACTCACTAATATCCCCCATCCAAGTGATACCATCCAAATGCTTTGGAAGTTGAGGGCAGCAATGACCATCAGTTTTTCCATATTTCATGAGGAGGCCTATTGACCTAAGTGGTCGGTGAGGCATTCGGTTGCGAAGGACCCGCCAGTCCTCACTCAGCACAAAGTAGAGGCGGTCAGTGCCTGCAGCAACAGCCAGCCTCAGACCCAGACGTCTCCCGGCCCTCAGGGCCGCTGAGAGCCAGCATGGACTGGATGGCAGTGTGGTAGCTTGTTTGTCTGATGTTGTTTTGCGGGGAGCTATTGATTCTCTGCAGCCCTGATGGCAATGTGGGGTAAGTGGACAGCTGATCTCGAGGTCGAGGGTCAAGCCCACAAGCTGCTCCACAGAAGGCAGATGCACTGTCGCTCCCAGACGGCCTCCCTGAAGGGGCAGCTCGACAGCAATTAATGTGGTGTTTGGGGCTTTTAAATTTTACTCCCTTATTTTAGACCTGTTTTGGTTTAATAAGTGTATAGCGGTTACAAACCTAAAGTAAAAAAAAGAGAAAAAAAGCAACTACACTTAGTTTTCTGTTACTTAAACGAAAATTAAATATCAACTTAAAGCAACATTGGAGGCTTGCAAGGATTTATTTCTAAATTGATTTAAAGGGGCTTCACTTTGCTAACAGCCCAGAGATCCCGAGCCCTTGATTTTAAAAAGCTCCCAATGAGAAGGCAGTCTCCACATGACAGTGACGTGTGCCCAGGGGGGCCTTCCTGCCACCCTGGCACTCAGAGTGCCGACAAGGAGCCAGCAGCACGGCTGGCAGGAGACTGACGAACCAACTGCCGTCTGAAGGGGCAACCTTCTGGCTAAGGGTGAAGAGGGCTTGAAGCACTTACTGATGAGGATGGAAAACCACAAAATTCAGTATGTATTACACGTCACACTAAGAGAACATAGCAGCTGGACCAGTGAGCACCAGGAAGACACAAGCAGAAAACAGTGAAGCTATCAGGGGTTCACTGTACCTGGACCCACTATCAGCACCCAGAAAGAAGCTATCAAGAAATCATTTTGCATTTGGCAAATCTACTAAACAAAGTCACTGGGTTGAATTTACAGTCTGCAAAAGAGGTCTTTAAAGTAGGGGTGCATGCCCAGCCCGAGGGCCACATAAAGCCCACAAAATCAACACCAGCTAATATCATACACCTCGCCAAAGAGGAGCAGCTCCAGCCGTTAAAAAACAAAACAAAACCCTGAACTCACCGCCATCAAGTCAGGTCCCAGCGATCGCAACCCTCCGGGGCAGGGTAGAGCTGCCCTGGTGGGTTTCCGAGGGGTGTAACTGTTTACGGAAGGAGAGTGCCCCATCTTTCTCCCTTGGAGCAGCTGGCTGATTTGAACCTTTAACCTTGCGATTAGCAGTCCAGCACGTCCCCCGCGTATGCCACCAGGGCTCCACAAAACGGCTCCCACTCCCCAAAACCAACCCACTGCCATCGGGTCATTCCAACTCAGAGCGGACGGCCAGTGTGGGTTTCTGAGGCCGCATACCCATCCCGTTAAGGGGGAGTTAATTAAATGCCTGACCAAATAAAGCAGGCTAATGTTTATGTTCATCATCTGTCTGGGCTGAGAATGATGTTGCATCAATATCCAAATGGCCCTTGACAAAAAAAAAAGGAGGTTCCTCATTCCTGCTTTCGAGTGTTAATGAGCAAAGATGTTCCTCTCCCTGACCCAGCCCCGGTGTTTTCAATCACCTTATGGTAAAGCTCGGCAGTGATTACGGAAAACTAGGAAAAACAAAACCAAGCTGATACATTCAAACGACCATGTTGGCAAAGAATCCCAGGCATATCCGGGAGTGCTAGAAGGGACAAATCCATCCTGGAACAAAGTCCAGCGAGACCAGCTATGTGCAGGGAGACCCGAAGTCTCTGTGGGTGGTATGTTTCCCATTTTCTAGAGATAATCGGTACCTCATTATAGGGTCTCAAAATTATTATAGTAAAAAAAATGTGCCTATTTTTCTTGTGTTTTTTGCATTTGCTTTGCTGTTTTCTCTCGCCATCCTGCTGTTTGCCCTGCTGCAGGGAACAAAGCCACTGCTGGGTCGGCTGGGGAAGAGTGTTTTCCTGGTTTCCAACGACCTGGTTGGAGATATCCCTGCATTCATGCAGAAAGGATTCAGAGATTAGGAATGAGAAAGCCGTGTTAGGGAGAGTCAACTGGCGACGCCCTACTGGAGAACAGCTTCACACCTGAGGCTCGATGACCTACCTCTAGCAAGGTCTTCACGTCCCAGGCGTCCTTGTCTTCATTGGGGTAGCTTTTCTCCATATTGTAGTGCCGTTCCCCAGGTTTTACCTTCTCCGGAGACTTGAGGATGCGAATCTATACTTAAAGAGATAATACACTTAGAACACTTCAGGAAAAGTCGTTACAATTCTGATATAATACTGCAAGCACTATGTTATCTGTTATAAAAAAAGGGCCATCTATTCTTCCAGAGAGCAGGAGAGAGAGGAAGCTTTCTGAGCCTGCAAAGCTTCCCAGCCTCAGAGCCGCACGGGGCAGCGAGCCTCCAGGCGGCGGGGTCAGAATCGATACGAGGGGCAGGTCTGGCGTGCTCTGTCTTTCTCATGCTGGAGCGGAGCTTCGCTAGCACAGCAGCTAGCACGCAGCTGGTGCCGTGTCTGGGCCGGGTGCAGCCCGGGCAGCCCCTTGAACCAGCTTCTCAGAAGACAAATCACCTGGCTGAACTTCAAAGCACCTGCCTCCAGCATTTCACAGAACAGCTCCCCGGGCAGAACACAGCCGCCTCTCCCTGGCGTTCCAGGAAGCAAGTTTGCTGAGAACAAGATGATTTCCTGACAGGTCATCTCCTGACCTGAAACTTGCAACCGCAGCACAAAGAACCTCCCTTCCCCTTACCAGCCCATAGGCCTTTAAGATCGTACTATATATATATAGTACGATATATATACAGACAGACAGACAGACAGATATCCCGCGGCCCCAGTACAAGGCGCACCTAACTCGTAGTCTCGGAACCCGCCGGGGGCTCGAGATGCCCCGTCCCTTTCTTTGCTCTCCCTTCTGTCCCGGGAGTCCTTTCTCCTTAACAAAGCCACCCCTTGGTTCACATCCTTGTCTGAACTGGCTCTGTACTGCAACCTCCACCCTCAACCTCTCACCGGCCACCCCTCGCTGCAGGAGGAAGTGAGGCTGTCTGATTCTACACCTGCTTCCGGCCTGGGAGCCACGTGAGCTGTTCTGCCCTTCCCTAGGGTCCCTGTGGAGTGCAATCACTCAACAGTGGTGGGTTCTATGGCCTGGTAATTAATTATTCAAGAAGCAGCACTTTCAAATAAAAATTCCATGCATTCTTCATATTCAACGGTTCAAGACAAATTGAGAAACATGGCATAGGAAACATACACTTGCAGTATCAATGAACGATTGATAACATTTCATATATATATATATATATATATGTATATATATATATATATATATATATTACTGGAGTCCTAGCCGCACTGTTGAACTGTCCATCACCAGGTCAGCGGTTCAAACCCACCACCTGTTGCTCAGGAGCAAGGTAAGGCGATCTGTCCTGCAGAGAGAGAGCCACAGCCTCGAACACCCCGCACAGGGCTGCTCCAGTTGGGAGAGACTTGATGGCAGAGGAGTTGGGGGGGTTTGTTGTGTGTTAAATATAATCCTAATGTTCACTTGCTCTGTATTCAGTAAGGAAGAATGAGAACTTGGGTCACACGGGCTTAATACATTTTTTTCTAACGATAGCCAATGATCAATGTGTTAGTCCAGGTTGACTAGAGAAACAAATTCAGACTCTCACTTGTATGTGTATAAGAAAGGGCTTTATATAAAAGAGCAACTATATATTGACACAACAGCCCAGCCCAGTCCAGATCAAGTCCCTAGTCTGATATTAGCCCATATGTCTGATGCCAGTCTATAAATTCCTCTTCAGACTCACACAACACATGCAATGATGCCGAATGCAGGAAGATCACAGACCAAGGGGTAGAAAGTGTTGTGGATTCAGTGGCAGTAGAGGCATCTCATCCCTGGCAGGGATCTCCACCTGGCTCATCAGCTCCAGGGGACAACCATAGCTTCGTGTATCTTGTCAGCAAGCATATCTCTCAGAGTGAGCGTGTGTCCCGCCTCCAGCGAGCTATTTATTTCCTTAGTGCCTCCAAATGAGGTCATCAAGCTGCGACCCCATTGACAGGCTAGACTCCACCCCTTCACTCTTAATCCTCTCAAACTGACAACAGATTATGTAGCTGCCACAATTAAGATGTGTAAAATAAGATGTATGTCAATTTGCATGCTATGGGAAAAAAGAGCAGTAAGCATTCGCGAACATGTAGTTTAGACAGATTAAGAGTAAGCTTGGTGAGAAGAAGAGGCTTTCCTCTCCTGTAAAGACTTCGTCTAAAGACTCGCAGGGGCAGTTCTACTCTGTCCTGCAGTGTCCCTGAGGTCAGAATGGACTGCATGTGCTTAAGGTCTGTTGTTTTAAAGAGAAGGTAGAACAGGAGGGGGAGCCTCTCAGGGGTGAGTTTGGGGAAAGGAACAAGGCCAAGCTGAGCTCGTGGTTCCTGAGTGTCTCCTTGCGGCTCTGCCACCTGCATGCAGCACAAGGTGCTCGGCTCTTTACTGGGACTGGCACTGCAGCGTGGGGGGCAGGTCAGTTCTGGATGAAATACTTGGAAGCCCACTGTGGAAGTCAGATGATTTCTCTTCAACTAGACACCCCTGGATAGGGGCGGAGTCAGGTCTCTTAATCAGGTCACTGCCTGATGCTGACTCCTGGGGGCGTGGCCTTCTTGTAAGAGGCGGATCCTGCTTGGGAACTGCTCTCTACTACTGACCTTGAGAGCAGCTGGAGCCCTGCCCTGGTCTCCCATCGTTCCCTGCACAAGTCTGAGGAGGGACTTCTGGGCGAGCATCAGACTCAGACTTGGAGTTGGACTGGCTGGGATGTTTTCTTTCCTCTTTCTTTTTGTCCGTCGTTTTATTGGGGCTCTTAGCTCTTACCACATTCCATAGATACATTGTGTCAAGCACATTTGTACATATGTTGCCATCATCATTTTCTAAACATTTACTTCCTATTTGAGGCCTTGGTATCAGCTCCTCTTTTTTTCCCTCCTGGGATGCTTTCTTGAGATACAATTACTTCATAATATAAAGCTCTTTCTTTTACATATATGAGTATTACTGGATTAGTTTCTCTAGTCAACCCATCTTTGCACACTAATTAAAGTTAAATATACATTTTTTGGGTTTTGAACAGAAGTAACAGATATTTACTCCACATAATTTAACACACTAAGATAAGCCATATCTATTGATAATTACCTGTTCTATCTGTATTCCATATCCTTTAAAGCCCGCGTTATCCCAGGAAGTATTCCGATAGATGTCATCAACTCTGTCAATTAGCTCAATCTGTGTGCAAAATTAGAGAGAGATTAAGTAGCTCTTTTTTTTTTAAATCATTTTACTAGGGGCTCATACAACTCTTATCACAATCCATACACACATCAATTGTGTAAAGCGCATTTGTACATTCATTGCCCTCATCACTCTCAAAACATTTTCTCTCCACTTAAACCCCCGGCATTAGGTCCTCATTTTTTCCCTCCCTCCCCGCTCCCCCCTTAAGTAGATCTTTTTTACAGAGTATTACCAAATCTACCGGGATAAAGCTCAATTTGGAGAAGATGCCATTGTGAAGTTTCCACCAATTACAAAAACTAGCATTAAGGTGTCAGCATGTTATAACTGACAGCTCTACCACAGAAATGACTCCTAGCCACAAACTTAAGAATGGTGTCATCAGAGTAAGCGTGGTTCAGTTCACTCCAAATGTCAGGTCGCCACTGCCTATAGCTCCACAGTACCAATTAACAGACTCTTAAAGACATCATTCTAGTTGAGGTAGTTAATTGTGCCAACCTGGAGGATAAACATATGTGGGGTTAATTGCAGGGCGGAGGGATAAATGGCTCGGTGTGCCTCGCCTTTTGAGTTCTCTTGCTCTGTGATGGTCGGACCAGGGTGCAGTTGCCTTAGCCAGTTCCTGCTTCAGTTAGCAAGGTTGACTTCCTGGAAGACATCCCTAAGGAGAAGCCGCATGGACCTACCTCAATGCATCCCTGGGTGCTGGAGCAGCCGTGTGGAGATCCCTG